GAATGACATCAAGCCTGACACTTTCATTTCAGAACAGACTTCAGCAGAGTCCCAAACCTTAAATCTCACACACGAGGACTTAAACAGCTTTTATATTGTCATATAGCACAGGTATTAAGGCATGTTAACGAGAACGAGAGAACGCAACGTCCACCACATAACCAATATAAACTAATCTAAACTAGTGCATACATCACATGCATAAATCACGCCATGGACATTACATTAAGATGCCTAAAGGTTTAAAAACCTATATATCAAAAAAAAGATGGATAAATGAGAACCTTTCTGACATAAACTTTAGCAAAACAGCTTGTCAAAAGCTGCGAACAAATTACTTACAGGAATAGAGAAAAGAGCGCTCTTTAATTATCAGCTGTTAGTCAGCGCCCACTCTTTTTTTCCCTGCTCATTGCGCCTTTGTTGTGTTCTGTGTAAATGCAGACGGTCCGATATGAGTCACTTTTAAAGATGGTGTTAGCAGGTCATCAAGAAAAATCTCACACAGTCACAAAATCGGAATTGATCATCAAGATCTGCAGTGTAAATGCAGCCTTACACTGCATGGTTCAAGTGACTCAATTCCGATTTTTTTCTCCCATGTGGCACAGATCGGATATGGCCCATGTACATGTAAGCAGGAACAAATCACATGGATTTTTAATTTCCTCAAATCAGATTCAGGCCTTGTTCATATGTGGAAATTTATCCGATATGAATCGGATCGGTGCCCTCGTGTCTGCAGTGTAAGCAGGTAAATCAGATTTTCACCTGTCAATGCGAGTCACGCGTCGTTAAAAACCATAGCGAATGACATCAAGCCTGACACTTTCATTTCAGAACAGACTTCAGCAGAGTCCCAAACCTTAAATCTCATACACGAAGACTTAAACAGCTTTTATATTGTCATATAGCAAAGGTATTTAAGCATGTTAACGAGAACGAGAGAGAGCAACGTCCACCACATAACCAATATAAACTAATCTAAACTAGTGCATACATCACATGCATAAATCACGCCATGGACATTACATTAAGATGCCTAAAGGTTTAAAAAAGCCTATATATCAAAAAAAAGATGGACAAATGAGAACCTTTCTGTCATAAACTTTAATAAAACAGCTTGTCAAAAGCTGCGAACAAATTACTTACAGGAATAGAGAAAAGAGCACTCTTTAATTATCAGCTGTTAGTCAGCGCCTGCTCTTTTTTTTCCTGCTCATTGAACCTTTGTCGTGTGCTGTGTAAATGCAGACGGTCGGATATGAGTCACTTTTAAAAGATGGTGTTAGCAGGTCATCAAAAAAAATCGGACACAGTCACAAAATCGGAATTGATCATCAAGATCTGCAGTGTAAATGCAGCCTTACACTGCATGGTTCAAGTGACTTAATTTCTGAATTTATATTTATTCTCCCATGTGGCACAGATTGGATATGGCTCATGTACGTGTAATATTACATAGAAGATCAAAACGTGACCTCTCTGTACAGAAATTTAAAATTTGAAGCAATCGCTCGCTTCATCAACGTCTTATCAAATTGTTTTGTACCACCCCTTTTCGCAGCATCATACGACAGAATTTTGCATGCTCGAACTCTAGTGTGACTGAGGCTTTAGGATTTTTTCTTATTGCTCCAATAATGTGACAATGGGTGGTCAAATAGGCAATCATGAATTAGCCGTTGATCTGTGTTGGGCTGACGTATTCATCTCTATTGAATTATACAAACCCAGAAACAGAAAACATTCAGAACTCCTTGGGGTAAACTCCAACGCAATCTCATGGCAATTCGTAACTTTTTGCTTTAGTGGCTAATTCGTATGAATTCGTACGATCTGATTCGTACAATTTAGTACGATTTGTTCATCACCCAATGACGGTTAGGGGTGGGGTTGGGTGCCACGCCTCCTTTTTAAATCGTACTGAACTTGAATTCGGACGAATTAGCCACTAAACTGACAAAACGTAAAATTCTTACGTTTCCTCGTGAGATCAGGATGGTAAATTCTTATATCACATATCAAACAACCTGTCAATAATAGTTTAATATTCATATTCCAGAAATATGGTTCAGTGTTCAGCTTTCAGACATACTTGGACTGTTGAGTTTGGTGCAGGACTGGGGAATCAGATTTTATATCTCAAGGCTCTTTAGTTGTTCAAGACAGGAAAATACAAGTCATAAAGCAAAGAGTTTGTTTGCTTAGCTTTAGTCTCTTCAGCTGCAGTGCATTAGCAGTGCAAGGGATCATGCAAGCAGAGAGAGCTGTTTTGATTGGCTGTATTTTTAGGTCAGTGTAGATACACATTTCCTGTTGTTTCGCTCCTGGTTGAATTTGACAAATGGGCAAGTAGTGGAGATCAAATGTCCCTTGGATGTATCTGAAGAAGCCTTTTCAGCTGTTGTGAGTGACAATGCTTTGGTTCTATTTCCAGAGCTGCTGTATGCGCAGGTATTTCAATTATGTGTTAAACCTATTGTATTATTTATGGTGCTTGCCTTTCGGCAAAAATAACTATCATTATGGTCCATACATTTATTCTTAAATTAATTTTCTTGATGGCTTAGTCCCTTTATTAATCCGGGGTCGCCACAGCGGAATGAACCGCCAACTTATCCAGCAAGTTTTTACGCAGCGGATGCCCTACCAGCCGCAACCCATCTCTGAGAAACATCCACAAACATACACACTCATACACTACAGACAATTTAGCCCAATTCACCTGTACCTCATGTCTTTGGACTGTGGGGGAAACCGGAGCACCCGGA